CTCTCTCTCTCTCTCTCTCTCTCTCTCTCTCTCTCTCTCTCTCTCTCCCTCCCTCTCAATTATGTATATAATCTAGAGATATATAAAATCTGTAGATATATAACGGGGCTCGGTGGTTAAGAGTACTGGCTGCTCTTCCAGGTGACCTGTGTTGAATCCCAGCACTCATATTGTGGCTCATAAATTTCTGTAACTCTAGTACCAGGACACTGTTTTGTTCATCCATGGGCACTGCACACATCTAGGCTAAACACATGAAAATGAGCAATAAAAAATTTCTGTACAGAAGAAACTTCACAAATAAGCCTATTTAGCACATAAAACACTAGAAGTATGAGAACAGTCATGTTTTCTTTCCATACCTTTGAATCTCCTTGGGCTTGTCTCTAAGATAGAGCCCCATGTTAGCTGCATTTGTGAGGTGTCCAGAGTGTCTCTGTTTCTTTGTGTCTTCCTTGTAGTACAAACCTGCATTCTTTCCAAAGCATCTCCGGGGATGGGGAGATTCCTGGGCAAGGAAAAAACCCTATAATAGTGTGTAGATAGATGGACGGAGAGAGTAAAGAAAGCCCTGTGAAGAGGCCTTGAAAACAGATAAAGAGCCTTCAGCCAGAGGTGGATGGGATGTGATCAGCTAAGGAAGGTACCAGACCTATTTGCTGCTATTTTTCAGTTATCAGTGTAATGCAGTCATGAGGTTGGGGGAGACAGCATCTCTGTAAAAAAGTACAATAGAGTCTAAAACCCTCCCAAATTATAGAATTGGGGAAATGAAACATTGGAAGGTTAGTTCCATTTTCCACAGAGCTGAAGAAATGTGTCATCATGTGATGGGGAGTACTTAACCTTCCAAGATCACATCTTGTGCTGCTTGCCCATATGGCCCGGCACTTTGGTCCTACTGATAAGCACAGTTGTAGCGACTGCAAGGAGATGCCATGGCTATTGCCTTCATTCCCCTGGTCTGTCTTGGTGAGATATAAAGTGGGAAGGAATATTGTGATCTGGGTGGGGGAACTGTGCCTCATAGATCTACCCTGGGTGTGCAGAAACCTCTGGGTAATGGAGGTCTTGCTCTAATTTCAAGGGCAAACCTCTCACAGAAAATCTTCTTCTAGGACTGAATCTGGTCCCCACGACCCATATACCAGCAGGTGAGTATGACTCAGAAGGTTTCTTCTCCTGAAGACCAGTAGCTAACCCTGGGCAGGGGAATAGAGAACAATAGGTGTGAACCGCCTCCTAGGTACACTTAGAGGGTCTTGAGGCTGAGGGATGAGATTTGAGGAGCAATGTTCTGGGATCAATTTGTTGATTTCTTTGCAGAGACTATTGGGAAGCCCACACTCAAAGCTCATCCAGGCTCCGTGATAACCAGAGGCATGCAAGTGACCATGTCATGTGAGGGTACCTCAAGTGCTCAGGAACACTATCTCTGTAAAGAGGGAAGTCCAGACCCCTGTCAAAGACAAAGCCCCATGGGGCCTGGGAATAAGGCTGAATTCTTCTTCCCCTCCATTCAACAGAACCATGCAGGGAGATATCACTGTTACTATCAGACCCATGTTGGCTGGTCAGAGAACAGTGACTCTCTGGACCTGATGGTGACAGGTAAGAGAAAACCCAGAGCCTCAGTCCAAAGCGCTGTCCTCAGTAGAGTAACTTCCCTTTGAGGTGTGTTTTATACATTGCAACTCTGGAGGAAAAAATCAGGAGGTATTGGTCCCTTTAACATTTGCCATCTTCTTTCCCAGGACTCTACAGAAAACCACGTCTGTCAGTCCTGCCCAGTCTAGTGGTGAGATTAGGAGGAAATGTGACCCTCCAGTGTGTTTCACAACTGGGATATGATGGCTTTGTTCTGACTAACGAAGAGTCACAGAAGTTCTCTTTGATTCGGGATTCACAGTACATATACTCTAATGGCCAGTTCCGGGCACTGTTCTCTGTTGGTCCTGTGACCTCCAGACAGAGAAGAACATTCAGATGCTATGGCTATTACATGAGAAAACCCCAAGTGTGGTCAGAACCTAGTGACCCTCAAGAGCTCCTGTTTTCAGGTGAGGAAGCCCAGCTTTTCTTTTGAAAGACAATGGAGCTGATGTAGGTTTTCAGGGGATCCAGGGTTCCCAGTTCCATTGACATAGTGCCTGGAGACAATAGGACCCATGATACAGAAACCAAGGGAGGCCAGTGAGAGTGAAACATGGGAATTTTAGAAGATAGATGTGTTTCCACATGACTCCAATCAGGGATCAACCTGATGACTGGCATATAGTCATATAATAGATGAATTGATATGTATGAGAGGTTTATGTTATATGAATTGTATATGATTTTATATACCTATAAATGCAGATGCCTAAGTGAAAGAAAACAAGATGTTTATTTTCTGTGTCTGAATTATTTGGTTTAATATATTGATCTCCATTTGCACCCAGTGTTTTTACAATTTTTCTGCACAAATAATTTTTTCTTTCAAATAAATACATCTGCAGTTGCGTCTGGCTGCATATAAGCATATTCACTTACATGTCTAATTCTATTTGTTTGTGTTTACATGTATTTATAATTACAGAAATTCATCTATAGTATTTTATATTTAAGTCTTTTAACAATTTCACACATAAGTGTTATATTTTCACAATTTGTCTTCTCCCTCTTACTCTCTCCCTGTGTCTTACTCGATCTGTCTCAAATTTGTGACCTCTGATTTTTAAATTTGTTATTATTATTATTACTATTACATACACCATACACACATGAATATGCACACACACAACACACACACACACACACACACACACACACACACACCACACATGTCTACAGGCCACCTTGAGTTTGATCGTTGCATTTTCTGCCCTTGTTTCCAAACAATTTCAACTGAAGACATCACAGATCCATCAGTTTAATTGTCTCCATTTCTTGTCATCTACCAGTTGCTATTTGATCTGATCCAAGGATGTGCAGTGGAGTCCTGGGAGTGGCTATGCAGTCCATGTGGTCACTATTTATGTCAGGGTTAGATAATGATATTTTTGCCATTTCATGGGTATATCTTCCCTGTAATGACTAGAAGTCTCTATTGTGTAGCAGAACCACTGTTCCTCTGGCTCTTATAACCTTTCTATCTTATTACTTTGATGTTCCTTATATATTAGGTACATGATTTTGGTTATAGAAGTACCCATTTGGACTGGGCACACCAATGCCACTTACTTCTATTTTGACCAGTTGTGGAGCTCTGTAATAAGTCTCATCTGTTGCAAAAAAGCTTCTTTGATGAGGAATGATAGCATGCAGTTAGAAATTACATTGGTTTAGGAACATAGACGTATTGGTTTTTCCACCATAGTCTGTAATCTCTTCAGATATGGATACAAGTAATATGATGTTACATGCTTATAATTAGACTATTCTTTGATGATTTAAGTTAACTGCTTATAAGAAGAAATTGACATTTATGTACACCGTGAGCATATCTTTATGTCTTTGTGGTTGCATTGTTTGCGTCCCTAACCATGGGATGATTAGATGACATGTTAAGCAAAAGCATCATGGGAACTGGGTGAGGTGAGTGCTGAGAGAGAGCCCCTCATTGTCACTGTTTTTGTGCACTTGATATTCATGGGGCCCAGAGAACAAGACTTTGTGACTGAATTTTGGGTTCTCAGCTGGTGAATCAGTGAAAACCAATTTCAAGGGGAATTATCTTCCTATATTATACTTCAAACTGATCTGGCAGCACACAAAACTTCCCTTATTCTGAACTAGGAGATTATATTTTTCCATCTGAGCTTTCTGGAAAAAGATATACTGTGTTCCAAAGAAGTGCTTTGTCCAGAAGCTCTGAATTAGTTGAGCTGAAGAAATAAATCAGAACAAGAGGAAGACTGCTACTGTGCCCCGACTAGCAGGGCAGTGAACAGGATCTGGGGGACCACCTGAAAGACAGAATGGGGGAAACAGGGCCATGCAAAGAACCACAGCTTGTCTATAGTCTAATCAAACCACTGGTTTTAATTTTTTTCACAAGGGTTATATACACATAGAGGCAGGATGTGGTGAAAGGAATGATGCAGAAGCATAGGTGTTCTCAGGGGGAGTGCAGATCTCTTCCAGAACAGGGTTTTGATTGGGTGAAGAAGCAGGGAACAGGTCACTTATGACTCTGTCCATGATTCACTTGTTCTTATCTAAGCTGGTACTTTCTACCAAGGCTACCTATCCACAAGATCTATGACTACCAGTTCTTATTCAAGCTGGTAAACTTCCACCAAGGCTGCCTTTTTATAAGATCTTATAGCCATCTGTTCAGTGTTTTTTCCACAGAGACCAAGACTTTGTGTTAATAGGCATGTATGTCTAACTCAGGCCTATGGTTGATTTTAGGCCTTCAGTGTATAAGCAAGGCTGCTCCTGACATCTCCTCCCTTTTCTCAGTATAGAAGGACCATGGCAATTCTAATCTTGTGAAGGTGGGAATAGAGACCTGACCTCCAGTAATTAAAGAGGATCTTGTAATGGCTATGGTCTTCCTGTCGCTGTCCAGTGAGGCATGAGGGCTATACCCATCCCGATGTCTTTTTTCCTGGAGAGGGGATACTTTTGACATCAACTCCTATGTAGTCAGGCTTGTCCCTCAGGGAACCCAGAAAGATATTTTTAATTTTTATTTATATTCTCTTGCAGTATTTAGCTTCACAGCCTAAGCAAGAATTTAGATTGCCAGTCAGAGGGGGTTCTGGGTGGCACCTTTCTGCTTGTTCTAGGGGAAGAAGTTCCCTCTTTTAGGTTGAGTGAAGATGGTTTTTGGAACACCCTGGATGGAGTAACCACCTGATCTTGAGTCTCATGGTCTTCCATTGCTAACTTATGATAATGTATCTGAATAGGTTTTGCTGCCAAATTATCTGTTTTTTTCACAAAGTTAGTCAGCCTATTTAAGGCCCAGGGACCAAAAGAAATAAGCAAATATAACCCAATTAATGGTCTCAAAATGAAAGGAAGTAGGGTTGACAACCATGGAGAGGTTGAAAACCAATTCTTGTACCAGCTCTCATCTTTCTCCCTTATGCTCTCTTTCACCATCCCTGTTAAACCAACATTCTTCTTTAAGGGCTGCACACAGTCTAGAGCTATACACAGTCTTTTCTATTGCAAAATAGTAAATCCAGTCCATTAAAGTCTTTTGCATTTTTGGAGACCCATTTTATACAGAGAATTCATTTTAGACAGGGATTTCTTCAGATTAGTGATGTCAATCTCTAGCTGTTTGATGTCCTTGTCAATGGCTCATTGAAGGTCTGAGTAGTGTAAGTCTGGAGGGCAGCATCAGGATTAGAACTTCCAACAGCAAACATCATGGGTGATTTATTTTTACCTGCAAAGGAAAAAGAAGGGAATTCTCAGGGAAATTTTTCTTCCCTGGATGTCAATTGTTATTCATCTTATTTATAATTGGGCCTATCTTTGTAGGGGTATCTATTTATTTCATTAATCTTTTTGGCAGCCATTTAGCTGTTCCTTCTTTGATATCAAACACTTGTATCAATCCTTGGCCCCATATGAGAACTGGGTTTGGGCCATTCCATTTAAAGGTAAGAAAGTCCTTCCACATATCTGTGGCATAGTTTTGTTGGTCTCAGGATGCCAAAGGCAATCAGCAGCAGATCTGTCATGAGCTTTCAGATTTAGAAAATGAAAAATGAACAAGGCATGATGGAGAATATTTTTGGGAGATTTCTTCTGGGGGTGTAGCTCTCCCTCTTTTGTTTTAAAAGCCAATTTTTCAGAGTTCTTAGTAGAACTAGGGCAGAAGCACCAGTAGCTGTTCCTCCCATACACAGAGAGTTATGAAAATATTATTTTAAGGTTTTATAATATCTGTTTTATAATACCTTGTCCTCGAGGATTATAAGGAAGTTTAGTAATATGGGTAATATTAAATTGTTAACAAAACATCTCAAATGTCTGACATAATAGTCAGTTTTTTTTTATCTTAATCTGGTATGGAATACCAAGCATAAAAAATAATATAGGCAATAACTAATTACATTTTTAATAGTTTCTTCTGTTAAAGCAATTGTAACTAGAAAGCCTAAAAAAGTGTCAAATCACATATATAATTTCAATTTTCTAAAATCAGAAATGAGTGACATCTACTTGTCATAACTGATTAGGCATAAGTCTTCAAGTATTAACACTATCATGAAAACATTTAGGACACTAAAAACAAATTTTGCAATTTGACTTACACACTCTCTAAAAATACCAAATTGTTGTCTCAAACTATTATTATTAAACATATATCTACAAAAATGTACTATCTTGTGGTGATGTTATATAATATATGACTTTTTAAATCTTAATGATGTCTTATAATTTTTTAAAATTATATCCATGATTATTAAGCTCTTTTATAACAAGACTGTTACTAGGTCTTTTTCTGATAGTCAAAACAGTAATAAGAATTTTGTCAGTCTCTCAAATAACATCAGTTAATTGTTTGTAGATGATAACCAGACTTTTTTCTACTCAGAGTACATTTTAAAAGGTTACAAAATGATTTGTCAAAGATCATCAATAGGGAACCAACAATTTACTATAGGTGTTGGGACAGAAAATGAAACACTGTCTGGGCTTATCTACACAAATCTTCACTGATAATTCACTTATAGTTTTAAACCTTTAGTGAACTTGTGGAGCTAGGCAGGCAATAGACATTTAGTCAGATAAATACTTTTAATAAATATGTATATAACATTTTTTTATTTTAAGCTTTAATTTTAATTTATGATTTAATTTTTGGTGTGAACTTGTGATGAACTTTATAACATGTGATCATATATTTTAAAAAATATATAAATATTGAAAACTAAAACATAAGAGGAAAATATAATGGAAAGATAAAACAGAACCCTTTGACTTTTCTCACTTAGGATAGCATATAGAATAGAACTTTTTAAAAAAAAATTCAATTGAAGTGTTCTTTGTACTTTTTTCTTTAGATAGCTCTCATAGGAAACTTTTTATACTTAGTAATAAATTTAATGATAACTTTTTAAAATGACCTCAGCCTAGCAGGAATAAGTTAGAGCCCAGCATTTCTTGTTGAGACAAAACAAAAGCAGTTTACTTAATCTTTGGCTGTTTTTTAAAAATGAGGTGTTAAGGGTAAAAAAACTGTAGTTTCTGGCCTCAAAGGATAACAAAAGGGAGATCAGCTATAGTGACACAGTAATCTAGATAAACAAACTTTTATTATACAGCAACCCCAATATAAAGAATAAAAATGTTTGGCCAATTGTTTTTGTAGGGTCTGTAATCTATCTGATATACAAATTTGTTATGACATTTTTCTGGGACCTAGGTGATCTAGTATGAGCTCTTAAATGTCTTATAAAATTAAGGAGAGATATATGTTTTTTAAGTTAAGCTGTATTTGTGAAATTTGAAAATTAGCAATATCTAAAAAAGGAACAATTTTAGGCAATTATAAACTATGAGCTATATTCTAGCTGTAAGTATACTAATTAAAAGCATATTTTTTGCATTTTAAATAGTGGCTACAGCACGTAGTTCAATTTTTTTGTTTTTGCATTTTAAATAGCGGCTATAGCACGTAGTTCAATTATTTGTGTTGAAGCTGGGAAAACTCAAGAGAGTAAACATGTAATCTAATTATATAATTTGTCTTTTCATTAAATGAGTTGTCTATTAATACAGTAAACACACCTTTTATGGGCAACATTATATATATATATATATATATATATATATATATATATATATGTGTGTGTGTGTGTGTGTGTGTGTGTGTGTATACATATATATATATGAAATACATGTTTCATATATATATATGAAATATAAAAGCATGTATAGAGAAAATCTGTAACAAATTGATCATGTAATAGATCAACTATCAGTAGTCTTTAACAACCAATTTTATTATTATTTGGAATAAGAAATATTTTATTAAGTGCTTCTTTAAAATACCTTTGTAATCTTAACCTATAATTTTGTACTAACACAACAACAGCTTTAGAACAGGATGTTAAAACTTCTTTTGGAAATAAAGAAATATCTATATTAATCTATATTAATATATTAATATTAATCTAGAGATCTATATTAATGATCTCTTTTATCAAAGGACTGTTATAAAATGGCCAACAACTAATCAATCTATATAACATATCTATTAAAAACAGCTTTTTTAACTTTCTGTAAAATTATCTCTCTTTTGCCAATTAATTATTGAGGAAAATTAGGATTTGTATCTCTCTTGAGAATATTAAACAGAGACTTATGCCTTTTTTGGAAAGCTTGAAATAAGATCTTAGCCAATTAGCATCTCTTAGAAACTTTTGAAAATAATTTAAAATAAGTAAACTATCTTTTATCTTTTTTTGTTTGAATATTTTGTATCACAGTTTATTTAGAAATATAACTAATGTCTCAAATATTGAAAAGATATTATTTTTTGGAGCACCAACCACTCCCTAAAATTTTAAAGCTCATCATATGAGAGCAAATGCTTGTGTTAAAAATTCCTTTAGAGAGATCAACTGATAAGCCAATTGTGTAACAAAAGAGGTGTTCATCAGGGCCTTGTTTGATCTCAGATAAAATTCTTATTGAGATCTCTTTTATACATCTGATTTTGAATGACTCCAACTCTGAATTTTCAGTTTTAATCTAGCTTTTTGTTACCAAAATTATGAATTTTTAACCATTCTCAATAACTTATAGGTTAATAATGTATAACCAAAACATATAGAATGTATTTATATTTTTAAAACTAGTCAAGAACAAAATAAGTGTACTTTTTATAGATTTTTATCTAAACAAATTTTTCTTACCTTTTTTAGCTGTAATTTTAAGAGAAAAGTACCCTTTCACTTATCAAACCGGGAAGAACCACTATCAATTTCTTTACTGTAGAAGCCAAAAAACTGTTAGCCCTTTTCCAAGAGCCACTTATGAAAACAATTAACTCTTGTCAAGGCTCTTTTTGTATCGTCCTCTTCTCAGCCATAGAGTTTATTTTCAAAATAAATTGATGGGTGGGTAGCAAATAGTTTTTACCAGTTTTTTTGAATATGAAACATAGAACAACAATCATTTAAACAATGAAACAAAGATAGACAATTGACACACATGGACAGATTGGTGTACTAAGGACAGACCACATACAGATAAAGCAGAACTGAGAATCTCTCCAGTAGGATTCTTTTTTGTTCCCAGCAGGGCTCTGAAAAAGCCTTTTTCTTTTGTAAACATGCCAGAGAGTGGGCAACTGTTTTTGTGTTTTCTTTCTCTCATTTTCAAAGTTTAACTTTTTAATCTCCTCTGTAGGGAGGATAGCATTTTTTATCAATAGTCCCCATCTTGGGAAAACAACACTAATGAAAGCAAAGAATTTTTAAAGATCTTTTTTTTTTTTTTTAACCCTAGTTCCTTTAGTCTTGAGTAACTCATTCCTTGAGTCCATCACAAATAGTGTCTGCTTAGAAAATACCTGTCCCAATGTCTATTACCTCAAGGCTTCATTGCTCTGATCCTACACAGGATTGTCTCACGGCCAAGTAAACTGTGGTGTCCTTCTGAGTCAAAGCTGCTCTTAAGAGGATCTCGAGAGTGTCCTCTTGGGTGTCCCTGAGAAATCTAGAGTCACTTACAGCACCTTTGGGAGTCACTCTAAGAAGTGCTCTGTAATCAGAGTGCCCTCAGGCACTCTGGGCAGTCACCCTCAACACTCTTGAAAAAAAAACTAGGTAGGCCTACCTTCCTTTGAAGAGCTGGCATTTTTCTCTTTTTTGATCCCCTCGATCCCCAGAATATGGGCACCAGAATGCTCCATCGAGCAGGGCAGTGAACAGGGTCTGGGGGATCACCTGAAAGACAGAATGGGGGAAACAGGGGCATGAAAAGAACCACAGCTTGTCTATAGTCTGATCAAACCACTGATTTTATTTTTTTTTTTCACACAGGGGTTATTTACACATAGAGGCAGGATGTGGGGAAGGGGATCATTCAGGAGCATAGGTGTTCTCAGGGGGAGTGCAGATCTCTTCCAGAGCAGGTTTTTGGGTGGGTGAAGAAGCAGAGAACAGGTCACTTATGACTCTGTCCATGATTCACTTGTTCTTATCTAAGCTGGTACTTTCTACCAAGGCTACCTATCCACAAGGTCTATGACTACTAATTCTTATTCAGGCTGGTATATTTCCATCAAGGCTGCCTGTTTACAAGCTCTTATAGCCATCTGTTCAGTGTTTTTCCACAGAGACCAAGACTTTGTGTTAATAGGCATGTATGTCTGACTCAGGCCTATGGTTGATTTTAGGACTTCAGTGTATAAACAAGGCTGCTCCCGACACTACTGCAGGATTTTCATGGAGTTATGTGATGAGAATAGTGTGAATTTATAGAAAATAGGAAGATAAAATTGGACTACATTTACTTCTCTTGAGTACTTCACACACCCAACATGTCTTTGTTCCTCAGGAGTGCCTGAGATTACCAGCAAACCACAAAACTTGTCAGAAGACAAGACAGGTAAGTAAGAAAAATTCTACTTGGGGTATTTCTGTACAGAGGGTCAATTTCTATACAGAGCAGGGAGCCTCTCAGAGGGGAAATCCAGTTATCTAGTAGTAGCTTTGGTCAGCCCCGACCTCTTTGTCCACAATCTCCAGCCTCACAGTCTCAGGATCACAAGATGGAGAACGTCATCCGTATGTGCCTGTCTGGCTTGATCCTAACAGTTCTTGGGATTCTACTGTTTGATGCTTGCTGCACCCAGAGAAAGATCCCGGATGCAGCCTACAAATGAAGAGGAAGACAGCAGTAGGCCTGGCATGGCCACCATGTCTGGAAAATCAATTTGAGTATATTAGGCTTTTTGTTTTATAAGAAAACCTAGTGCTAATGTTGCAAACCACTTGTGAGAAAATATTTAGGAGGGAAATGTGTTTTGAGTGTAGGGAAAGATCTAAATATTCAGATTGAGAACGTTTTCACCACACATTAAAGCTGTAGACTTTTGTAGATTTGTTTCCCTCTTCTCTTGTCAATTCATGTGTGAGGAAACATCCTACCACTGAGGTTTGGGTCCCCACCAACATGTATGTGCCTTTGTTCTCATGCAAACCTTTCCTTTATAATAAATAAAACTGGCTTGATACCATGGTTCTGATACAACACTCCCCATTGTGCATTATAAGCCTATGGTTGTTGTTTTTTGTTGTTGTTGTTGTCTGTTTTATTGTTGTCACTATAATTTTTTGTAGTAAGGAATGTGACTCAAATGATAACAAAAAATTATGCACAAAAGTCAGATTCCAGAATGAAAATAATCTGAATATAAATGACGGACACTCAGACTATTAGATATTTATCATACACGCATTGTAAGGTTCCTCCTGATATACAAACACTTCCTTTCAGATGTTTAAAGGAACTATCTTTTAGGACACTGTTGTATGGTTTTAAAATATCACTGTCTTAAAAAAGACCCTGTCTCTGATATTTTCTGGTTAGTGTGCATAATTCTTTCCATGGGCATCTTGAAATTCCAGCCTTTCCATCATTACTGGCACCAAGGTCAGCCAGTTCCATGTGGCATAACAAGAAGTACTAGTCACACCAGAAGTGGCAACCTTTGTCCTTCCTGTCTGGTTTCATATGAAGAGGTTGGGCACTATGAAACTATGTGATATCTTTGCATTCTCAAAATATAAATTACTTTTATCCTTTGTTGATATGTGGAATACTTGAGATCTATGAAGAGGAGATCCTTGTCTTAAGTTTTCTAGCTGTTTTGTTAAAGTCAAGTGTGTGCACTCTCATTTGACAGGCCCTTGCTCTTGTTAATTGTGTGATAACTGGAGTGTTGAACTGGGACTCTGAAAACACAGGGAACTGGGTCAAATGTCCCAGTTAAGATAAAACTTGGACATTATCAAGAAAAAAGATGGTGATCCTGAAGACTTAGGATGCTCAGGCTATCAGGTATGGAGCACCTGGCCAGGACTTCACCAGGTCTTTTGGGGGGCCCTGAACCTCTAAACATGTTATTGGGTCATTACTTGATTATATTTATGGATGTAGAAAGTTCCATCTTAACTGTGGGTGTGACTATTTTGGGGACTGGTGTGTATAAAATGAAGAAAGTGAATTGAGCATGTATTCATCCATCTTTCTCTGCCTCCTGTATGTGGATATAATGTGACTGGTTGCTTCAAGATTTGGTTGCCTTGACTTTTCTCAAAGAAACAACTGTGCCCTGGAGAAACAACTGTCCCTTATAAAAGTCTCTTCTTTAAGGTGATTCTTCATCTTATTGTTTTATCATTGTATCAGAAAAAGTAACTAAGATAGGCCTCATGAGCACCTTCTTTCACAAAACCCAAGCTGTAGCAGTCCTGTTCAGAAAACCACACTTGCTATGAGTTTAGTAGAACAATGTGACGTTATGCTCAGGAGACAGTATTTCATAGCACTACGCTTCATACTACATTTATCTTCTTTTATGTTTGCTCACCCATAAAGTGAGGAATATAGATGTCCTGATCTGGTCCAAGCACTCAACAGTCACTTATTTTTCATGGCTTGACAAGTTATAAGTCTACACTTTCAATTAACTATTACCAATTACATACCGAAACATATATGACTAACATTGAGACATGTGCTACTCTGTTCATATAAACATAGAAGGTAGTTTCACATCATGTCAAATTAGCAAAATAAGACTAGTTGATTCCCCTCTAGGGCCTATAATGTCTCCATTATAGTGGATTTTAAATTGTATAGTAAGTAAGCTGTGTATTTTTAATTTTATTGATTTTAAAATTTAATTAATTTATTTTATTAATATTCAATTTGCACATATATTTTTAATTTAATTTAATTTTTTATTCCTTAATCCCTTTGTACAGTCCAGTCTTTATCCCCCTCCTGGTCTGTCATCTGACCATCTCATACCTATTCCCTTTACTGTCTACAAGAGGATTCCCTCCCCCCCCCATTTTGGGAAAAATGTAGCCGCAGTGGAGGAGTCCCAGTGGGTTTTCCACACTGGCGGGTCCCACATGCGCCAGGAGGTCTAGGATTGCAGAAGCTGGAGGCTTTGGCAGCAGCAGGCCCCAATAACACAAGGAAGTCCTTGGTTCCAAAAGGGTTTATTGTCATGGTGGATGGTGGATGGATCTGGAAGTATGCCCCCTGTAAAACTCAGGGCAGTCCCGAGTTAAATAGGGAGGGAGGAAGGGGGAGGTTCTGGGGAAGCATGCTTAATTTGCTCTGCCCTCTGGCCTTCATTAGTATGTAAAATCCCTAGGGCCTGAGACCTCTAGTCACACCCTCTACCTGTGCACTTTGGGAGGGGCTGTAATGGCCTACATGACTGAACAATGTAGGTCTATGGAGACGAGACTGTGTGTCAGGACCCTGGGTTCTGGGGATGTGGCCGAACTCCTGCCGGTTCTCACTTAGAGTCTCAGGGTTCTAGGCCCATGCCCAACCATGAACCAGGATACCCTTATGCAGTCCCACACCCCATCACTATCCACCAGATATTCCCACTCAGTGGGACCTCAAGCCTCTCAAGAGTTAAGTGCATCTTCTCTCACTGAGGCCAGACCAGGCCATCTTTTGCTGTATATATCTTGGTGGTCTTGGACCAGCTAGTGAATGCTGCCTGGTTGGTGGCTCAGTGTCTGAGAGATCTCGGGCATATAGCAGAATATTTCCCTTACTATATTTTACAATAAACTTGGTAATTTTGTAGGATCTAATGTGGGAGGAGTAAGGAGAGGTAGAGGAGAAGGGAGAAGAGGAGCAAAGAGGAGAGGAGGGATGTAGCAGCCATGGAGAAGCATGGATGTATGGAAAGCAGTCCTGGGTAACAACTTATATCTAGGATAGTTAATTGGGTTGATAAGTATAATTGTGTGGACATCTTGTTAACTGAGCATTTCTAAATATATAAAGCTTTTAGATAGTAATTAAGCTTTAGAGTCTCATTTCTTCCAGGTACCACATGGATGGCGGGTATTGTCTGGGTTTCAGTCAAGCTTTGTGGAGACAACATGGTGGATTGGCTGATCTAGCCACCACAATGAAGTCTCATGGGTGTCAGGGCTGGTGCTTCTGGCCAGTCAGAGCCAAGCAGTAGTGAGAGCTTTTAGCCCCTGGCCTTGCCTAGTCGGGAAAATGATGACCCTATAGCAACAAGCCAGATTGGGCCATGTCGTTTTAAATGTTACCCACAACAAGGGGGTCCAGGTCAGCTGAGACTGCTGGTCTCCTTATGGGGCCACCCTTCTCCTCAGCCTCTTCCAGCTTTTCCCCAATTCAATTACAGGGGTCCCCAGCTTTTGCCATTGGTTGGGTGTAAGTATCTACTTCTGATACTTTCATCTGCTTGTTGGACCTCTCAGAGGGCAACCATGCTAAGCTCCTGTCCACAAGCACACCACACCATCAGTATTAGTGTCAGGTTGTGGGGGGCCTCCCCTTGAGCTGGATCCCAATTTGGGCCTGTCATTGGATGTCCTTTTCTTCAGTCTCTTTTCAACTTTTGTTTCTGCAATTCTTTCAGACAGGAACAATTCCGGGTCATAGTTTTTGTTTGTGGGATGACAACACCACAGGAAGAAAACCACACACTTATAGACACTTAATCTTTGAGAAAGAAGTCAAAAATACACAATAGAAAAAGAAAGCATTTTCAATAAATTGTGCTGGTCTAACTGGCAGTTTGTATGTAGAAAAATGATAATAATACATATTTGTCACCTTGCACAAACCTCAAGTCCAAGTGGATCAAGGACCTCAACATAAAACCAGATACACTGAATGTAATAGAAGAGAAGGTGGGAAAACATCTGAAACTCATTGGCACAGGGGGAAATTTCCTAATAAGAAATCCAATGGCTCAGGCTCTAAGATCAAGAATCAACAAATGGGACCTCAAAAAACTGGAATGCTTCTGTAAGTCAAAGGACATAATCAATAGGATAATTAGCAACCTACAGATTGGGGAAAAAATCTTCATTAACCCCACATCCAATAGAGGGCTAATATCCAAAATATATGAAGAATTCAAGAAGCTAACCACAAAAAAACCCAAACAACCCAATCAAAAAATGGGTTATAGTGCTAAACATAGAATTCTCAGCAGAGGAATATGGAATGGGTGAGACGCACTTAAGAAATGTTCAAAGTGATCCTTAGTGATCATGGAAAGGCAAATCAACACACCCCTGAGATTCCATTTTACACCAATCAGAGTGGTTAAGATCAAAACCTCAGGTGACAGCACATATTGTCAAGGATGTGGAGAAAGAGGAATACTTCTACATTGCTGGTGGGATTGCAAACTGGTACAGCCACTCTGGAAATCAATATGGAGGTTCCTCGTAAAATTGGAAATAGATCTACCTGAAGATCCAGCTACACCACTCTTGGGCATATACCCAAAAGATGCCCCATCATGCACCACAGGGACACTTGTTCCACTATCTTCATAGTGGGCTTATTTGTGATAGCCAGAATCTGGAAACAACCCAGGTGTCTCACAACAGAAGAATGAATACAGAAAACGTGGTTCATTTATACAATGGAATATTTCTCAGCTACTAAGAACAAGGACATGATGAGTTTTACAGGCAAATGGATGGACCTAGAAAATATCACCCTGAGTGAGGTAACTCAGACCAAAAAGGACATGCATGGTATGTACTCACCAATAAGTGGATATTAGCCAAAAGGGTACAGAATACCCAGGACAAAATCCACAGAACTCAAGAAGATTAACAAGCCA